GAAATTTCAATCTTTTTCCAACAAATGAGCTGCAAAGTGAATAGGAAATCTTGTCAAGATTTCTGCAGGGTTGGAAGGATGATGTCTGGTCTTCCAGCAGTCAGTTTCTGGAGAAATTTCGCCTCATAAGTCCCAAGAACATCCCAGAACATTTATTGGTTTGATGCACACTTCTAACTTGTATTTATTTTGTTGCCAAAATTGTTGTCTTAGTCACAAGACAAACGCAATAGGTTGACAACAGAGACAAAATTATAATTTTTCATGTTTTCAAGTATTGGAAAATTCTAGTGTTGGTGGAAGAATTGAATCTTATAGACGGCCAAACCTTTTGTCAGGATAATCTTGTTTGTACAGTGTTGTGAAAAGGTATTTGACCCCTTCCTGATTTCATAGTTTTTTGCATATTTGTCTTGGATGTTGAAGATAATGAGACAAATTTAAATATTACGCCAAGATAACCTGAATGGTTCAAAATAGTTTTTCATTTATAAAGGCAAAAAAGCCATCCAAACCTGCCTGGCCCTGTGTGAAACAGTAATTACCCCCTAAAGATAATAACTGATTTTAAAACTTTTAAGACGTGTTTGTGCTAACTGGAAATGAGTGCGTCACTTTGTTGTGGAGGAATTCTGGCCCACTTTTCTTTTCAGAATTGTTTTAATTCAGCTACAGATTTTCCCGAACAGCTTTGGTACACCTTGATTCTCAAACTCTCTCAGTGAATGGCTCTCTTGAGATCAATCTACAACTTTTTTACATGGGTTGTACTCTGATATTCTGAACTCTACAAAATATGATGTTTTGGGTTCCAGGGGGGTGACTCCAAATCAGAGAAACAAACAAAGATGTTCTGAAACTTAAGGCAATTTTTCAAAGATTCAAGTTTTTAATCAAAGCTGATATTAACAATTTGATGTTGAATACAAAACAAACATGAAATTGAAGGACCTTCACTGGTAGTTTCTGCTACATACCAAACATATGTACAGGTGCACTTTAATGTACAACAAGAAAATTGCACAACTGAAAAATATAATAATAAAATAGTATTTTTAATGCACTTTGTCCGGCTGGTGCAATAAGAGCATAAAGTAATGCAATACAGAGGTTGTGCTTATTGCACGTTTCGGTACTGCCCATGGTAGGGTTGTGTTGGATGTATCACCTGTTGGAAAATGGACAGCACGTTTTCTTATTTGAGTTATCTGATTTGATCAGGGGTTGTCAAAGTGACGATGGTTTGTTGGAGCATTTCCAACATTCCCAACCCAAGCTCAGAGAGGTCTGACATAAATCATAAATGACAGACTTTATTGTGTCTCAAACACAGGCATTCTCATGACATATAACTGGCCCACATGCTCAATCATGAAACATTTGGAAACAATGTCCTGGCGTGTTATTGCACACAGTTCATTTGAGTTCCTCACTTTTACAAGGAATTT